AGAAGAGAGAGAGAGAGAGAGAGAGAGAGAGGCTATCATATAAATACCCTCAAGAGAGAGAGAGATGGGAAGAAATGAATACCCTCAAGAGAGAGAAGGATGCAAAACAAAAGAGAATCTCTCAATGATCGATCATGACTAAAACTACCTTTGAAAACTTGTGAATGTGAGAAAGAACCAAAACTACCTTTCAAAGCTTGTGAATGTGAGAAAGAACCGAGCAGCAATCAGAGAGCTGCCAAGGGGAGTGACAGCATTTTGGTTATATCTCATCTATTTTACTTCACTGCAAAAGTTCTTTCAAAAGAAAAAAATTGCATGGCAAACCTAGGTATTTATCCATGCATAATTAGACCTTATCAAAATAGGAAATGTATTTTTCCTAAGCATTTGAAGAAAATATTTGGACCTTGTAAGTCCATATTACTCTAGAAGGTAATATATTACTCTTTGTAGGGCTGGCAATGGGCCGGCCGGCCCAGCCCTAAAACTGTAGGGCATGGGCACTGTGGCTGGGCTAGGGCTAGTGCCTGCCACTATTTTTTTTTCATATTTTCTTCATTCTTTTTTGGCCCGGCCCGTTGCCGCCCTTAACTCTGGGTAGGGATATGAAGTATTTTGCCTCTAGCTTATGAAAGTAGTGTGTTTAATGTGCTGTGGGGTTGGTGCAAGTATTAGTACTTCATGGTTAAGTGGTCAAGGATGCCCATGTCTTTGTCAGAAAAGCAAGGAAGAGGGTACAAGGTGTTGGTGCTTTTCCAACATAGGGGCAGATTTGATTTATCGCCTAACCTTTCCAATTAATCATTTGTGGCTGCAAATCTTATTATTTCTCAAAGCTTGTCTCTTCTAAAACCCATCATAATTAAACACGGTTTCCGAAGGTAAATTAAGGCATGATGTAGTTGAAAATTTCCATTTTGCCATTCGTTTGCATCTTTTGGAACCTTCTAGGATTTTGAGAAATTTTCCTATATCAAAAGCTCTTTTAAAATGCAGCTCGTCATACAAAAAAATATAAATTTAAAATGGAAAATAACATATCACTTGTGATCATCAGATGCAACCATTTTACCTTTCATTTTCATTTTAAGATTTTGATAAATTCATTTTTCACTTGTATATTTTTAATTTTAAAATATCTTTAAAATGCCATATCTTATGATTTAAGGAACATCTAGTATTTCAATTTTATCTTTCCTTTTTTTGGACGTGGCCCAAATTTCACGTGTTCTTAATTCTCACCATAGTGTAGCTAAAAAAATAAAAACAGTAAATTAATAAATGATGACCAACATACCGCTAAACTTTTATTGATATCCCTATAATTTTGTTTTATAAAATTAATTTTTTATATTTTTAAGTCTTATAAAGTTATTTTTTTTATATTTTAAAGATGTGTGATGATGATAAGTATGAACACATAAAATTTGAGCTTAACCTTATGCATAAAAAAGAGAAGATTAAAACACTATATATGCTTTTAAAAAGGCATGAACATAATATAAAACATTGAAGATAATTTATGGTTGAAGTTTGTACAAGGCGTCAACTTTAAACAATTAAGATGTAGTTTTGGCGCTAGAAAGCATTCCAATAGTATACAAATATATTGTCACCCTTAATTACAAAATTCAAGGGTCTAAAAATGGTGCAAATCAAATAGATATATAAATGAGGAAAAAGTTTATATAAGGATGCAACCTTATAATGTAGAACTCGGATGCACCTCAAAAATCCATCCGAAAAAGTAGTTTTAATATTGAAAAGCCTTTTGATTGATCATCTCGACGTCGAGATGTATGACCATGAAAAATAAAAGGATTTTAAGTCTCAGAAATAATGCATTTTACAACATATTATCTACACCGCCCATTTTCAAGATTTTCATATGCTTATAGATCTTACTTGATTTAAACTATTTTTTAAATTTAAAATTTTCTAATTAGATATAAAAATAGATTTTGAGATAATCCTAAGAACATTTTACATCCAAATTATATTCCACGATAAAAATTGAAGGTGCACCTTACCTCTACAACTACGGATGCATCCGTATGCCAACTGCACCCTATAAATAATTAAGAATTTTAAAAATATTAAAAACCTTAAAAATTGACGGTCCAAATAAAGTGCTATAAGATACATTGTTTTATGATGTAACATCTTTTGTTTTCGTTTTTATGTTTTTTTGTTTGTTTTTGTTTTTTTTTTTTTTTTTTTCTTATATTTGTACATCCTGAGGTCGATATAATCAATTTGAAGGTTTTCCAGCAATGGAACATCTGTTTTTGGGGTTTTTGCAGTTCACCTTACTTCAATTGTATAACGTTGACACCAGGTAAACTTTTTCTTTTTTATATAAAAATATAAAATATATGAAAAAGTATACATTGAGACAATTTAACTTTAATACAAGGGGTCATAATTAGTCTTGACTATTGGATGTGAAATTAGATAGCTGCATTTATTCCATTAACCAAACTCAAACTTGAAAGGAAATTTTTTCGAACTTCGTAACACACCCAAGCATTCAGATTTCACATCAGATGGTTATAAATAATTGTGACTACGTTGAAAAAAAGGTAAATGATCATATTATATACAATCCCAAAAAATATTTACATAAATTTTCCTAGAAACTAACAATCACTAGCTCTCGGATGTGGAATTCAGTGGTTCAAGATTATTAGAGGTTGCAATTCTTCTATCTCTAGGTTTAGGTCTTCACTATGCGTGAAGAGGCAATTTAGGTTATACTACTGGGAAAAAAATTATATAAAAATGCAAGCAATTTACATTATTCATTTTATTTAAATAATGTAAGTTTGATACTGTCTTAAAAGACATATCATGTTTTTTATATATGTGCAGTTTGTATAGAGCCGTGGCTCTAAACAATCAAAATAAAGTGCACCTTCAAATGGTGTTGAAAAATATGGTTTTAATATTACTTGAAATCTTTGTGATAGTCTTAAAATATATTTTTATTTTTAATTATAAAATTTAAAGCTTCAAATATAGTTTAGATAGAGCATATCTATGAAAACTTGAAAAGTGATTGTCCAAAAATACGTTACAAGATGCACTATTTTCAAAACTTAAAATCCATTTTTTTTATCATGTCTATGCATCTTGATGTTAAGATGATCAATTCGAGGATATTTGGGCATCAAAACAACCACTTCTAGTGAAATTTTTAAAGTGGGCTCTAATTTGATTAAACTTTTCTTTTTTATTATATGGTATTGCATAGTGTGGTTTCTATAAGGTTGCAACCTTAAACAATCCAATTAAGGCACACGCTCAAATTTTATCATAACTTGTAATTTTGGTGTTAAATTTTTTTAAGATTATTTAAAAATCTATTTTCATATCTACTTATGAAATTTTAAATTCTAAAAATACTTAAAATCAAGTAGATCTATAAACATATGAAAATTTTAAAAATGGAAGGTCTAGATAATATGTTGCAATATGCACTATTTTTAAGACTCAAAATCTTCTTTTTTTCATATTCATACATCTCGATATCGAAATTATCAATTAAGATTTTTCAACATTAAAACAACCTTTTTTTTATAGATGTTTGAGATGCATATGTAATTCTACGGTTGCAACCTTATATAAACTTTTTCCTAAAACGAATGACGTAAAAACACCCTGACTTTTACTTATACGACTAATGTTGCATGTCGTATGCAAATCACACCCTCTACTGTACCAAACGGTATCCTTGGATGAGGGCAATATAGTAATTTTGAAAATCACTCTCAAATTTGTTAAAAGTTTAGCAGTGCATTCGCACATTTACATCAAAACCAATTCTGTTTTTTGGTTCATAAAAAGCAAAAATCGAATAACTGTTTTACATTGCAAAAAGTAGTCCATGATTTTCCCTTTTATTTCTTTTAAATATTTGCAAAAAAAAAAAAAAAACACGCACTGAGAAATCCACGTTATAAGAGAGAAGACGAGGGAAGGCAACGAAAGAGCCAAAATGACTTCCCGCGTCTTCTAACACTGAGCTTTCCGGCGAATTTTCCGGCAAGAATCCGGCAATCAATATCGGAACCCACTATCTATCTTTCTTTTCTGTGGACTTCTGGCCTTTCACTATCATCTCCGGCCATAATCTCAAGACTTAACGGGTAAAACAACTGACAAAACCAGGGAGCGGTTCTTTGTTTACTGGCTTTACCGTCGACTTTGCCGGATTCTGAATTTTTTTGGGCATTGTAGATATTGAACCAGCAATTCAACTGACTATAAACCAAGTCATTCTTCTTCTGCTTTAGCCGGATTTACTGAACTCTCCGGTGATATAGTTTAACCAGAGACCCTATTCACTTCTCCATCAGAGACTTGATAATCTGACATTTAACTAGTAACCCAACTCAAAAAGAGCCAACTTCTTCTTTGTCGCCTACGTTATTCTGGCATTTGGCCGGATTTCCTGGACTTTCTGGTTGATTTCCAGCATCTAACTGGCAGATGCCTAGACAATCCTTCATAACACTTATCCTGTGCAATATTTGCAGTGTATTTAGCCGGATTACGGCGAGCTACAATCCCATCTGAAACTTTGGCTTGAACCCAACCTCTGAAATTTCCCCTGCTGCAATTTTCAGGCCATTTGGCCAGAATCCTACGAGTTTTGAGCCATGGATGGAGGGCATACGGGGAAATAATGGCTGATAATCCGGGGGCTTCCCATTACATAGACCACCACTACCACCACCATGTCCTTGTCTTCTGATTGTTTATCAGACGATCTTCTTTGCTCAGAAGATGCCAGCTTCGTGGGCATCTGCGACCGGGATTTCTCACCAGAAATTGATTTTCCGGCAGACTCAGTCGCCGGATTTCTTGAATACGAGTCCGATTTTATCCCCCCAAATGATTATTCAGAGAGATTCAGAGATGGAAGTATTGACCTCTCTGCTCGCAAAGACGCCATAGCCTGGATTCTCAGGGTATTTTTTTTCTGAATTATTTTTTTTCTATTTCAGATGTCTCTCAAGCTTATTTATTCATTTATTTTGATTAAGAAGCAATAAAAAAAAGGAAGAATTCATCGTTGTTTTTGCTTATTTTCTTTTTATTTGTTTTCATTGATGAGTTTCAGGTTCATACTTATTATCAGTTCAGGCCCTTAACGGCGTATCTGGCCGTTAACTACGTGGATCGCTTCTTATCTTCTCACGCCTTGCCGGTAACCGCCGTTACTTGACGCCGTCAAAGCATGATGGCCCATTTATTCGAGACTTTTCACACTGTTTTCCTTGTAATTTTCTTTTTGTTTTTAATCTCTCTTTTTCTTAAATTATTAGATGCGAATTTGAAGTTAGTTGTATTTTTTGTTGAAAATTTATCTGCTCCCAACTTGTTGGATTTTTGTTTTTGGTATTTATTTGGATAAAATACCTCCATTTTCCATGCATTTTTCTATTAATTATTTGTAAATTCTTGTCTATAGAAAGTTACCCATATAAGATAAAGCCATAAAGGACATTATCCAATTATTTTTTATAATTCAAATATTCATTTTTCAAACTTTTTCCATTTTCAAGTTCTAAAAACTTGATTTTTGAGCCTAAAAATAAAAGGCAAATAAAGTTTGGATCACTTTATGCTTTAGTAGAACAGTAATTTTCCCATTAGTAATAAGATATGGGTTCCCCACATTTGCAATCTTTTCCCATGTAAAAACACAAGAGTTTTATAATGAGCATTAATGGGTTTTTCATTGGATTTCCATTTTTTCCTATGTAAACACACAGAGTTTCATAATGAGCACTAATGGGTTTTTCATTTGATGAGAGAGAAAATGATATTTGAGCAAATTTGATGAGAAAGATGATAGGCATTTGAGTAGATTTGATGTGAGAGATGATGATTTGGCAGCAAGGAAAGGGGTGGCCATTCCAGCTCCTATCAGTGGCTTGCTTGTCCCTTGCTGCTAAAATGGAGGAGCCCACTGTTCCTACCCTCTTGGATTTGCAGGTAAAAACAACAAACCCCAACTCTCTCTCTCTAACAACCCCAACTCTCTCTCTATAATTGCTCTCAATTTTTATGTTTTGTTCTGGTCTGGTAAAGTTAATCTTTCTAGAGAATTCAATCTATTTAATAGCTCAAAATTTTATGTTTTCTTCACATAAAGTTAATCTTTCTAGAGAATTCAATGTTTTATTCACTGTTCTGATACTCATTTTTTTTCTTTATTTCCTTTTGAAAAAAATGAGCTGAGTTACTCCGACTCGCCTGACTAAGGTGCCCTGGGTATCTTGGTCGAGTCGATTTTCTTCGCACTCTGGTTTTATGTTTTTCTAATAGAGAATTCAATGAAACGGATTCAGGTGGGTGGAGCTCGATTCATATTCGAGGGTCGAACAGTGAGAAGAATGGAGGTTTTGGTGCTGAGCAAGCTTGGGTGGAGAATGCGTTCTGTAACACCCTTCACTTTCATTCATCATTTCCTCCAAAACTTCTTCAATTCCACCTCACCTTTCCTCTTGTCCCGAGCCACTCAGCTCGTTCTTGGCACCATCCATGGTAAGAGAGAGAGAGAGAGATGGGTTCTGTTCTCTCAGGGCAATAGAGAGAGAGAGAGATTGGAAATTGACACCCTGTAATCTATAACAGGAACCGAATTCATGGATTTCCGGCCTTCATCGATCGCGGCTGCTGCTGCGCTCTGTGCAGGAGATGACCTCCCTGAATTCCCATCTCTCAAGAAAGCAAAACCCGGCATCTTCTCCATCGATGGCTTGTGCAGAGTAAGAGCCCATGATTGATCTCTCTCTTTCTCTCTCTAAGTAAGATACAAGGATTTACAGGCGAGTTTCTTTCCATAACAAATTGCAGGAAAGCACATTGAGTTGCTACCAGTTGATGAGAGAGATCTTAATCAGAAGGCCGAAGCCCATGAAAACGCCTGCGCCTCTGTTTAGAGTGAGCCCACGAAGCCCAATTGGGGTTCTGGACCGCCATGAATTACCACTCTCCTCTTCCTCCTACTCATCTTCCACTTCCAATAAGCGTCGTAAGCTCAATGAGTTATGTGATGCCATTGCCAACGGTCCTGCTCAAGAGAGAGAAATATAACCTGGTGAGAGAGAGTGGAAAAATGGTGGAAGAAATTCTAGAGAGAGAAAGAGGAGAGAGAGAGGGTGGGGATTTGTTAAGAGAAACCTCGGGTAAAAGGTTTGAGATTGGATTGTCACGAGAATCCTCAGCATTTTTCAGTGAAAGGATTCTTGAGTTTGAATACTAATATATAAATAAATTAATAATAAAGGAAAAGAAAAGAGAGTGTGGGTTTTGAGAGTGATGAATTGGGATTGTTTTTTGATATTATTTATTATTATTTGGATTTTTTAATTATGATAGTGTGCAGATTCCCGAGGGTCATTTTGTTTTCAAGTGAGAGAAACTGATGTGTGTGGTGTGGGGTGACGTGGGGTCAAAACTCTGAACTCTAGAGAGAGAAACTGAGTTTAGAGAGAGAAAGTGTGTGTTTATTATTTTGTATACTGATGATGATGAAGAAGATGATGGAAATGTTTGGATTGGAGAGGAGTGAGGGATTGAATTCAAAGGCAGCATTGATTGAAACGGGTTGGAATGGTGGGTCTTTCTACTGTTCTCAAAAGTGGGGTTCGGGTTTGCAGAGAGTGAAAGATGGAGAGAGAGAATAGGTATTGTCATATGTAAATTTTGATACTGGATTTTTGCTGTAATCATAGTGTTTCATTGATTGGAATTTATTCCATGTCTGTGTTTTGTGTTCCCTTGAATCATCTCACTCTACTCCTTTGTTCATGTTCGTCGCTGCTTCAATTCAGATGTTGGTAATCTTCTTCTTCTTCATCTCACTCTACTCCTTCGTCGCTGCTTCAATTCAGATGTTGTTGGTAATCTTCTTCTCCTTCATCTCACTCTACTCCTTTGTTCATGTTTGTTGCTGCTTCAATTCGGATGTTGATTATCCTTAATTTTTTTTTTTTTTTTTTTTTCTTTTTTTTTTTTAACCTCTGCATTATCTTAATCAAAATCACCTAATACTTAAATTTAAAAAAAAAAAAATCTCTTTCTCTCTCTACGTCGCTCTCTTTCTCTCTCTACCGATTGACGTAATACTGTCGTGCACCGAAAAGTAAATCTACATCAGCATGCACGCATTCATGACTTCATTCTCTCGTAGCAATTCACATTGTTCATTTTTTTTTATTTTATTTTTTGGGTGTGGTTTGTATATTGCTGAGGCCCCAAACAGTCTAAGTAAGGCCCATCTTCAAATAGTGACTAAAATGTTTCAATATTGAAATTTTATATGACGTCTTGAAATTTTATTTTTATTTCTAATTACAAAGTTTAAAGCTAAAAAAATAGTGTAGATTGAGCGGATCAATGGATACTTGAAAATATTAAAATTTGACGGTTTAAAAATTGCGGTACAAGATGCACTATTTCCAATAATTGATATCCCTTTTTTTTTTTCATGTTCGTACATCTTCAGGTCAAGATGATATATTTGAGGAGTTTTTAGTATGGAAATAACCTAGAATTTAAGGTGCACCGTAATTTAGTTTTTACGGCCTCACCCTTATATAAACTTTTTCCTAAATTTTTTTTATTAGCACATTTTACTTATCATTTATAATTCTTACTTTTTAGCCTGAAGTGTATCTATCTTCTCCAATGCTCTTGTGGGAATACATACTGTACAACAACTCCCTTAGGCAAAAGAGTATCATGGGAGAGAAAACAAAATTTTGGGATACCTCAGATATTTATTTTTTAAGGGAAAACTTGCAAAAAAAAATTGCATTTTAGGTTTTGGAATACCTAGATCGTTCTTGTTCAATCTTGAGACATTAAAATTTTTGAGACATAGAGTGTCCTATTTATTTTTGTTTTTCTTTTTGAGCTTGGTTTTTAGGTTCTAGAGGCGACATCCCCAAAAGCAGGCGTCTAAACGATATCCCCAAAGAAATTTATCCCAAGGGAGCAAATGCATAGTATGCTCCCAAGGGAGCAACAATTCTTTTCACTTTTTTAGATCTGTCTAATTTTTGTAGTCGCAGATAATCCAAAATCAAGAGAATCCTTACAAAAAGCTATTTTGTCCAAGGGATTTGTTGTACAGTATGTTCCTGAAAAATACTATATAGACTATACGTTTGAATGTCTTTTTCTCCGATGTATGGTCCCGTTTCCAATTCCATCCACTATTAATTATAAATTCCTTAATTTTTCCTTTTGTTTTTATTCGAATTTTAGAATATTTTTATTCTTTTCTAATAGTGTTGGATCCTTCTCCCCACATAAAACGCCAATGCTGAGGATATACGGAAGAATTACGTACGGAAGGTATTCTAACCCTGTATTACAGAATGGGTTATATTTTTGCAAAAATTACATAGAGACCATGGGTCTGTTGTTTTTCTAGAATTGCCCACCAATCTGGCATTTTTAAGGAAATCATGCAAGTATTTGCCCTTCTCTATCAGTTAGGGCCTATTCAGTACTGACGGTTTGCTGTTTCTAATGTCGGATAGCTCAATTTATAGAAAATTTCTCTTATTTAGGAAATTTTTGTGATCACCAAAAAATTCTTTTTCATATCTCATTATAAAATTTAAATCTTAAAAAATAATGTAGATTGAACAAATCTATGAATACTCCAAAATCTTAAAAATTGACGGTCTAGAAAATACATTACAAGATGTATTATTTCTAAGATTCGAAATCTAATTTTCTCATGTCCATATATCTATCTTGAGGTCGATGATTAATTTGAGAATTTTTAGGCATCAAAACAACCTCTTCTAGTGAATTTTGAGATGCGCCTTCATTTGATTGTTTAGGGCCTCACCCTTATATAAACTCTTTCCATAAAAAATTTATACAATGAAACCATTTAGTTTTGATACATAGCACAATCATCATTGACCTTTAGATTTAAATTGGGTGGTTGAAGATGTGTCATTGTTTATGCATAAAGTTCCACAAAAAAATTTCTTGAATATTGTGATACTATTTCATCAATTGGATTTCACATCCAATGGCTAAAAATAATTGTGAACTCCTTATAATAAGAACAAATGGTCTCATAAAAGTTAGATAAAAAAATTAATACTCATATAAAAGACTTATCTAAAATTTTCCCTCTATTGCTATCTTCATTTTCTGGATAAACTATATTTTCATATCTACTTTGTTGTTAAAAAGTATGGATTTGGATACCAAATCAAGGAAATTCTTATGGAGAGAAGTATTAGGAAATAAGGGGGAGTTTCGTGAAATTCAAAGTCACATTCGTACTTTTTCTCCTTTACTAATATAGACATATAATTATACAGCATATTAATGTCCACTTTATACCTTTGGAAAGAGCCAAATTAAATAGTTATGAATAAGTTATTATTGAGTACTTATTTTCCTGTCAGGTCTACATGTTCCCAAACCCGAATAGTTTTCGGGTCTAAGATTTGGATTACTGGGTCCAATTTTTGGACCTATACCCAAACCCGGCTCAGGTCTTGGTTGGGTCTAGGTCCATTGCCGCCCCTACCCATTTGAATAATTTATATCCGTATATGGGTCCATGGACGAATGTTTTGGGTGCTTAGCATGCCGGATAACAAATTTCTCTCTCTTTGCTTAATGAAATAATAACGTTCTCTAATTTACTCCTCTGAGTAGAAGACCTAGTTAGGAGTATTTTAATGCATTAAAGTTTGGAAAAAGTTTATATAAGGTTGTAACTTTAGAATGTAAACTGAAGGTCCATCCCAACAATCCATCATATTTGATGTTGGAAAACCCTCTAATTGATCATCTCAACATCGAGACGTAAGAATATAAAAAGAAAAAAATATTTTGAGTCCCAAAAATAATGTATCTTGCAGCACATTATCTGGACCGCCGATTTTCAAGATTTTCATGTGTTTATAAATATACTTGATTTGAACCATTTTTGGAGTTCAAAATTTTATAATTAGTGATCAAAATAGATTCTCAAGCCATTTACACCAAAATTTCATTTATGATAAAATTTGGAGTCACGCCTTAATTTAATTTTTTACGGTTGCAATCTTGTGCAAACCACAACCTTAAAGTTTTGGGATTCATTCTAAATTCATTTATGGTTCAATTTAAATGAGGTGACGGTCACCACCTTATTTGTTTGTATCTGCACCTTCGATTTCTAAGGGTAAAATTTATATAAGGTTGTAATTTTATATTATAGAAGTAAAGTGCCTCAAAATCCAGCATAAAAGTTTGAAACTTTTCTTATTGATCATCCCAACTTAAAGAAGAAAAGAGAATTTTAAGTCTTAAAAATGGTTTTAGAAGTTATCTATTCTATTAATTTTCAAGATTTTTAAGTATTTATAGAATTGCTAAAAAAATTTGAAATTTAAAATTTCATAATAAAGGTTGAACATGGATTTTCTCCCCACCGTAAGGCTTATGACATCGAAACTATATCTTTTGGCAAAATTTAGAGTTGCACATTATTTATATATTATAAGGTGGGCACCTTATACAAACCTTACCCCTATTTTAATAAGATGTTGATTCTTTTGACACATCTTTTAAAGATAAGTATAAAAAATTGATACATCTTTTTAAGACGGTATCAAATCTACATTGTTGAATTAGAATGGATGGTGTAGATTATCACAACCTCACTTCTACAAATAAGTTTATCACCTTATATAAATTTTTTTTTTTGATAAATATTTAACAAAGAAAATAGATTTTGAGTTCCAAAACAATTAGATTTGACCATATAAATTTTGGACGATACCTGTTCAATCTTCAGCCATTTTTTTTTAGGAAAAATTATATTATCCCCCTACTTTGAATTGTCTGCACAGATCCCTCTGATAAATTTTTTACACCATAAACCTTGTTAATGCTTTTTTTTTGCATTGTCCGCACGGATGAATTTTTATGCCATTTTTGGATATATATATATATATATAAAACTAAAAAAGGTATTTTCTTCCAAAATGACCTAAAAAGTTCACCATGGGGTCGATGTAAAAGAAAACAGTTGCAAAGTTTATAATGTGAAATTAAAAGTATTGGGGACCCTATGAGTAAGAAGTTTGGTTTAGAGGGGTGTACACAATTTTCCCTTGTTTTAGGAATATACATAATATGTATCTATTTTTTCCCTAGGTTAAAGATGTTGCATCCCTGAAAATATTTCTAGATATAAGAGTATTTATCCAAGGAATCGCACCACCACTAGAGCGTATAATGTGTTGACCCACATGCATATTAGACATTGTCAAAAAGATTTCATGCTCACATTGGAGCATATTCTCCATTTACTACCTCATGTGAATCACAATTTAGGAGTTTTTTAGTGACCTCAAATTCTGGGTATATATTCCCTTCAAGACAACAAGCAACTTCTAAAGATTTCCTATGCATTCTTTGTGTGAGTGAAAATTTAATGTCCAAAAACTAAATGTAGACTGTTCAATTTTTGGTAAGCAAACTCTAAGACTCAAGGAAATCAGATTCCAATTATTATTTTTTAAAATTATTATCTAGCGATTCTTAAGTTCATACCAAAATTTCAAATCCAAAAAATCCTCCTTAGTAGTGTTTTCATCTGAGGGAGCAAGTAGACAATATGCTCCCTTGGGAGCATATTATACATGCAGAGAGAGAGAGAGAGAGAGAGAGAGAGAGAGAGAGAGAGAGAGAGAGAGAGAGAGAGAGAGAGAGAGAGAGAGAGAGAGAGAGAGTAGAGTAGAGAGTAG